GGCTGAGCGGGGTCCCGGGGCCCTCCGGCCGGGCAGAGCGCGGGAGAACCGCAGCTGCCCCGGCCTTCCGGGGCCCCCGCCAGCCCCGAGGATCTCAGGGCGCCCCTTCGGCTGAGCTCGGGGGAAGGGCCTGGACTCGTCCGCCCAAGCGAGCGCTGCTTCCCGGCACCCATCATTCCCAGTCGGCTGGGGAAGGCGGGGAGCGGCGCTCTGGGCTGCGCCTCTCGGTGGCGCGCGCCCCGTTCGGCAGGTGGCCGCTCTGGCCGCTCGTCTCCACGGCCCTCGCTCCCGGAGGCTCACCTGAAGTTCTCCGCGGTCTTGGGCACCACGTCGGCGAAGAGCTCCACCTTCATGCGGCCGACCTCCTGGGCACGACAGAGGCGTCAGAGCCGCAAGCCGGGCCCCGCTCCTCCCCTCCCGTCCCCCTCCCGTCCCTGCTCCCTCTGACCGGGGCCTACCTGGCCGCCGATGGTGACATCGAAGAACACCACGGGGTTGTTGGGGTTGGAAGCTAGCACCGCCATGGCGACCACCTCTGACCCGGAAGAGGAAAGGCAGACCCGGGCCTAGGGCAGCTCGGCGTGAAACGCTTCCACTTCCGGTCGCGTCGAGCGTCAGAATGAAATCATTAAGCGGGGCCGACGCGTCCTTGCGTTCCAACTCCGTCGCCGTTTTATCGAATTTTCAAATATTTGCCCCCCCAAAAAACGTTGGAACGGTTTCCAACGGAGGAATTTCCCCAGGGGCGTGGCGGCGGCAAGGGCGCCCCGCCCCAACCCACCCCCGGTGGCGTTCGGCTTCCACCGGAAATTCCCGCCTCTTCCTCTTCTCCGATCCATTGGAACGCCACCCTGGTCGCTCGAGACCCCGAAGTGCCCCTTCATTCGCGCGCGTGCGCGGCTCCTGCATTGCGCGGCGTGTCCGTTAGCAGCCTGAAGTCAATGCACCTGGCTCTTCGGCTGGGCCTCACGGGCTTTATGCAGAATATTTCCTTTGGCAAATGTGCAGAATTTATTTTGCAAATATATAAAAAAAAGGGTACGGCCACAACCTCCCAGTAAGGAACACGTTCTAAACCTCACTCAAGAACAGAGGGTTTCTGAACATGTGCAGAACCTTACCCCAGCTTTCTTCCAGATACTCCAGGACCTACATATAAAAGTGCAACGCTCGCTAACACACGCTTCCTCACTCAGAATGTGAGAAACTTTCGCCAGAGTCCCCCACTCGCTAACGGTAAAAAGTGGGCAGTGCGCCTAAAACGGCCAAACTTTCCAGCACTAGGATTCCTGCTTCTCAGCTCAGAAAAAAAGCTCATCTGCTAAACGCACCTCAGTATTCTTGAGTTTTTGGTGTTTTCCAACTGCCGAAACAGTCCTATGCAGGCCGATGCATCTGCGGGAATGGCACGCAGACTTGGGCCCTTCTAGAAGAAGGTCCGTCTCTTCTGCTAGCCAATGCCGAGAGGTCCAGTGTGGCTCAGAGGTTCCTGCCAAAATAGCGGGGATCACGTATGAAGTCCCAGCTTGGCGCAATGTGTGAATCCAGCCACTGTGTCCGGCAAGGCAGGAGTGTGTCCAACCATGTTTAAAACTCTGTTGTGGAATCCCAGACACGCTCTTGCGGAGCGACGCTGTCGGACTCTGCTTTGCTGAAGCAAAGATAAAGATCTGAGGTTTGGGATGACAAGTGGGGCCCCACAGAACGATGCAGCCCCCCTTCCCCCCTCCCTCCCTCTTTCTATGTCTCCTTCCTTCCTTCCTTCCTTCCTTCCTTCCTTCCTTCCTTCCTTCCTTCCTTCCTTCCATCCATCCATCCATCCATCCTTCATTCGGGGGCACTCCGGGACACAAACTAAACTCTCAGGGCCACAGTTGTACAAAGAAATAATTATTGTTTAAAAAGAACATTTGACATGTTTTTTCCCCCTTTTTTTAACAAAACATCTCCGAAGGCAGTCTGGCATATGGGGAAAAAACCCAGCCGCAGACAGGAAGACGCTTCCAGGCATTTTGTGCTGTTCATCCTTCTCCGGGGCCCTTCAGACCCGATCGCAGCAGATGGGGCCCCCGGCCTCATCCTCGCGGAGGTCGGCCGGCTTTCTCGGGACGGCAACGTTTAAATAGCTGACCTCAGACGTTTGGCAGGAGAGAGGGGAACGCAGGGCCCTTTGCGTGGGCTCGGAAGGCTGCCTGTCCTCGATGGCCCGGCAAAGGCTGCGGGAGTCCAAAAGCCTGGTCACCGAGAAGCTGAAAGGAAAAGGACCGGCTTCAGCTCTCTGGCTCCCGGCTCGGCTCCCTCGCCCCGGAGCAACAGGTCATCACGGCTTCAGAAGTGACAGAAACACTCCAAACACGGGGGAAACGGTTTACTGGAGTACGCACAGAATCCACCTCTGAGCTCACACCTAGCTCGAAAGTCTGGGATTCGGGGCAGCTCGGAGAGACTGTGGATTGGAAGCTGAGCGAGGGGAAGAGGGCAGCCGACGTTCTTCCTGGATGAGCTACGGGACAGCAAACCGATTACGAGAAACCCACATCTCCCCGCGGTGGTGTTTATACAGCCTTGCAGGGTTTTATAAAACTTTCTAAACGGGCATTATTTTAAAAAGATGATGACCCTTCTGCCCAGGGCGTGTTTATTTTCTCCTGGGAACAGAAAGCAGCACCCAGGAGGATTTCACTTCCTTTCACAAGCACCTTGTGAGGCAGGATGAGCAAAGAACGTGAGCAACTAGGCCGGCTTGCAGAGTATCTCCCAACAGCCCTGTTAGGCAGTCAGAATCTGTATTCCCCCCAGACACACCAATTCTACAGACATTACACCGTGACTGAGACTGTGGTTTGCAGCAAGGCATGGCTGAGCTGAGGTCTGGGTGTGTATTTGGGGTCTGCCCCTCCTTCCCCCTTGGGGCTACCCCACAGGGGAGGGGGGACTTCAGAGCCAGGCACCCCCTTCGGCTTGCGGAGCTTCCTGGGCTGGGTGGCCCTGAAATCCAGCGTGGTTGGGTGGACTGAGCTCGACTTTTGCCTCCCAGACCTGCTCTCCTACCGCTTTCCTTCGAGGCAAACAGCCTCTGAATAAATAACAGCTTCTCCCAATAAAGAAATGTGCCCAGCTCGTCCCGGATTTGGCTTCCTGTGGCGCTCAGAGTGAGGTCTCCCAGGAGCCCACCAAGCAGGGCTGGAAAGCAGCAGCCCATCCTGGTAACTGGTCTTCCAAGGCAGACAGCTCCCAAACACGACAGCTCTGCTTAGCTTCCGGGGCCTCCTTGGAAAGTGGTCTTCTGTCCCAGCAGGGCTTTGGGTGGCCCCTGATCCGAGTGCCCTAATATGCTTTGCATGGAGCTTTCCAGAGGCAGCACCCAGACTGAAGCAGGATTTCAGAAGGGCGTCGCACCCCACAGAGAGACCTACCGGCTGCCCACGTCTGCCAGGCACGCTTTCAGGTGCTGGCTGTGGCCTGGAGGGCCCCCGAGGGCCCAGGCTACCTGCAGTGACCTTCAGGCCAGCAGGAGAGATGCTCTGCTTCCCGAGGTCTGTGTCTCGGGCACCCAGGGGAGGCACACGCCCCCCAGCCCCGCTCTCTGCTTTCAGAACAGAGCCAGGGTCTCCTCTTCTGCCCAGTCGCCAGAGGCAACTTCCGTAGGGATTCAAACTCCGTGCATCAGATTTTAGGGGTCTTTTATTTCTATTGTTCGCTGCCTTCAGCGGCCCAAAGGCAGAATAACGAGACCGAAACAAGAAGAGCTGGTGTACCTCAAGAGAGCTCGAAAACGCCAGGGAGAAACTGGGGGGCTCTGGGCAGGCCACGGAGGGGCCACGAGGCGACCCTGGCTGGGATGGGGAAGGGAGCGCCCAGTGTCCACGCCACGCCTGCTCTGGCTGGCCCTCCCTGCTTCACAGACACAACTCCTTGGCGCGATACCTGAAGCTGGGGAAGGGTAGCAGCTTCCTCTGCAGCGGGTTCTCGGGGAAGCCGATGCTCCTCAGCTCCTGGGGAAAGAAAAAGCAGCCTGTTCAAAATGAGGCTTAAAAAACAAACAACCCCCCCTGCCGAAGGATGGACTCTCAAAGCAAGACCACCCTGGAAGGAAGCAGCTGAGGTGGGGGAAGGGGCGCAAAGGCCAGATCCAGCCTCAAGACGGTCTGGCTCTTCCAGCCCCTTGAACAGCTTTGGCATCTAGTCTTGGGATTTCCTAGCAGCCCCCCATCCAAGGACTAGCCAAGCCTGGCCCTGCTTAGCCTTGGGGACCGGCTCACACCGGCCAGTGCTGCCAACCTGTCGCCTGTTCCAAGGAGCCGCCCCACCAAGCACAACTGTGGGCCTGGAGGGGGACGGGGGTTCTGGGCCGAAATCCAGCAGGGGCTTGGCCGAAAAGGGGGCTTGACCGCCTTCCCTCGAAGAAGGAGAGGGGTCACGAGGCGGGATCCGGGCCCGGTCTCCGTACCTCCAAGCTGTGGACGTGGATGGTCCGCAGGGCCCGTTCCAGGACTCCGACCTGCAGGCTCAGCTGGAGAGTCCGGTCCTGGAGCTGCTTGTTTTCCCCCTCCAGAAGCTGGACTCTGGGAAAGCGAGGGAAAGAGCCAAGGCTTGCGGGGGCTCGGAGTGGGCAGCGAAGACCCCTCCTCCCAACTCAGGGCCAAGCACCCTTCCTCTCACCCTCGGCCCGCAAAGCGGAGGCTGCCCGTCCCTCGATCCCCCGGAGGAAGAGGGGGGCCGCTTGGACCCTTTAGACAACGAACACGGCTGGCCGCACAAAGGCAGCGGAGGGAGTGAATACGCGGTGGTGGGTCGGCTGTGGGCTCGAGGGGCTACTGCGAACGCTCATGGCCCCAGAGCTGCTCTCACCGGCTCTGAATCGTGCAGAGAATCTGGCTGTTGCTCTCCTTGGCCTCTTCGAGGCTGTGGAGTTGCTGCAGGATCTTCCGCTTTTCTCGGAACAAGCCCTCGTTCTCGCTGGTCACCCGCCTGATCAGCATTTGGTCCTGGGTACAACGTCCAGCGTCTGTGTGTTTCTCCCCTCCCCAGAGCACAGCCAGCACCCCCCGCCAGTCAGCCCACCCACTGGGCTCAACAGGCCACCCTACAGAGGGGGGCCCTTTGGGGCCTCCAGCATGCCCCTGGGCTGCTCTTCAGGCACCCAACTTACCCAGGAGCCTTTTCAGGAGCCCCACATCAGCAATCCGGGGGACCCACGTGGTCCAGAGATTGCCTGGCTCTGCCCTAAACCATGGTTCACCCACACCCGATCAGGCTTCACCCCACAAGGGCGCCCTGCCCCCGGAGTGCCCTGTGCCAGGGTGGCAGGACTACCCTGAGCTCTACCTTTTCTGCCTGGCTCTTTGAGAGCTGGATCTCGCTCTCCAGGAGCCGGATCTGCCCCTCGCGCTGCTTCACCTCGCAGAGCAGCGTATCCTTTGTGTGCCGCAGCCTGGCTTTGTGGCGCAGGCGCCGCTCGTTGTGTTTCCTGGGGAGGCGAAGCGGCATCTTCAGGGACCCTGGGGGCCTGCCAGCTGGGCAAGCAGACAAGTGGCGGGCAAGGGTGGGGGGCACCGTGGGGGAGCAGGACCTCTCACACAGCCCTTGCAGAGCTGAACAAAGAAACCCCCAAAGTTGTCTGTTACGTCTGCCCCCCAGCCCGTTAGGCGTGTCCTTGCCCACTTCTCCTGCACCCACAACAGCAAGACAGATGGGGGGGCTCTGAATCACCCCTTCTTCATAGGCTTTGCTTTAGCCAAGACCTCCAAGAAAGTATCAGCCACTCTAAATCTCGCTTTCCAGCGTGCCCAGTGGGGTTCTTCCGCCTTCAGCTTCTACTTATTTCAAGAAGCCCTGGTTTGCAAGGACCCTCTGCTCCAAGGGGCCTCCCCAGATGGGACCCTTGGGGGTCATCACGCCCTACTGCTTGAAAGTTTGCCCGTCTCTTTGAATTGCCACACCCTCCTCTCTGCCTGAGTAGGGAGCGTCGTGGGGCAAAAACAGACCTTCATCACCTGCGGCTGTGCAACCCTCATGGCCGAAGAGAGGAATGATTCAGTTGGCACATTTCGAAAAGCTAAAGACCCTGCTGGTGATTCCACAGACACGTCCCGAGACTCTTCTCAAGCCACCCATCTGGGACATTCCCAGCAGTCTCCCATCCAGGTCCCCACCCAGGCCCCCCCTGCTTAGCTTTCCCGAGATCAACCCAGGGCAGCTGCTTGAACTGGGGTCAAACAGCGCCCGGCTCCTGCCTTGGGAGCCGAGGGGCGCCGGGAGTCACCTGAGCGAGACGTCCACCTGCTTCAGGACCTGCCTCTGCTCGTCACAGAGGGACTCCTTCTCCTGCTGCAAAGCCGAGAGCTGCTCGGAGAGCTCCTGGCTGTGGGTCTGGTAGTGCAGGTGCTGAAAGAGAGATGGGAGGGCTCACCCATGCCTTCCGGCCCAGCTGGAGGGAGCAAAGCTCTACTGGCCACCACAGCGCCCGGAGAAGGCTGGTCGTGGCCGGTCATCGGCTCAAAGCTCTGGGCTGGCTTGGCCTGGCAGAGCCTGGAGGCAGCCCCGGACCCCAGCTCCTGTCAGGGGCTCCACAAGCCAAGGGCCGAAGGAACCGGATCGTTTCCGACCCACCTTTCGCCCCCCCCGCCCCCACTAAAGGAGCAGATGGGATGTCATGGAGACCCCCGTCTCAGTCACAGGCCAGCTTCTGACAGATGACGTCCGTCTGGCCATCGGAATTATTCTAAAGAATTGTTTGGAAATCTGAACTTTTTTTCTTTAATTGTAACAATGAATGCATCGAGCAAACATGTTAGTTATTATTAACAGATAACAACATTAAATAGTTCTGGCATTTGCTGGGTTCCTTTATAAAAACACGTGATGCTTCTTTCTCCAGGACCCGAAAGCAAAATAGTTTTTTGCCAAGTCAGAGAAGAAGGGGACATTTCCCCACTTTGTGCTAATAAACTACATTTCCCCCCACCCCAATTTTATTTTATGTATTGTATTTCTATATTCTTAACACCGTAAGTCACCTAGAGTCTGGGAGGGAGGATTCTGTTTCTCTCCTTTTATGTAGATTAATCAGGACAGCTCTGCCAAGGCCCACCTCAGTCCAGTCAATCATTCTGGGATGTTTCTTCTGGAGTAGGGTACTCCTTCGGAGGCCATTCAGCCCCCGTGTTGCAGAGAGCAGGGAGGCTGGCGGCCCCCTGCCCACATCCACTCCTCGCGCCGGCCCAGCCTCGCTTCTCCACCTGCGAGGCGGGGAGAGGGCTGCGTCGCTCACCTCCTTCGACAGGGTCCTCCTCTCCTCTTCCAGAACGCGCAGGTGGGCCTCCTGCTGCTGGCACTGGGTCTGCCGCTCAGCCAAGGCCTGGAGCAGCTGGGCCTCCTTCTCCCGCAGGTGCCTCAGCTGCTGCTGCTGCTCTTCCTTCTGCTGCTCCAACAGCTTCCTGGCAGGGGCACCGGGGCCGTGAGCAGAGCGGCTGCCCGGCCGGCTCTGGGGTCCCACCAGCTCCAGGGAGGGCACGTGGCCACCGCTGGGCCCAGCCCCACCGGCTCCCTCCTGCTGCCCTCAGCATCCGGGATGCTTCGATTGCCTGGGGAGTCGCTTCCCCATTTAAAACGGGGAAACCGGCACGGCCAAGAGGGGGCGAGGGGAAGCGACCTGCCCCTCTTCACCCAGTTCCAGCGATCGGGGCCATGGCGCTTCTTTCTTCCGCGTCCCCTGGGTCTCTGTCCTCCCCCCTTAAGGCCCTCCGGATGGGCTGATGGCCTTCATCTCCCATTGCTCGCAAGAGGATGCAGAAGTTGCAGCGCTGCGTCTTTTGTGAGAGGCAACAAAATTCTTTCCCCAAACCACTCCCAAAGGCAAAAAGAGGGCAAGACCCCAGCCAGGGACTGCTCCTACCGCTTCCTCTGCTCCTCTTGGAGATACCAGCAGGCTTCTGCCTCCTTCTCTCTGGCCTCCCTCATCTCCTCTTCCAGCCGCTTCCTCCCCACGGCCTGGGGGTCCAGGAGCTGCCCCTGCTGGCGAGCCTCCTTCAGCATCTGCTCCAGCTCCAGGACCTGGAAGGATCAAGCGGCAGAGCTGCAGTTCTGGGCAGCAGAAGCATTTGGTAGCGGGAAGGCTGCCCCAGAGATAGGGACGGACTCTTGAGCAGGACACAGTCCTTTAGAAATGAGAAACATAGCTATCGTGCAGAGGAACTGGCAATTCAAAGAGGAATGGATTAACCAAAGGGCAGGTTATCAACGAATCCCTCCTCTGCAATAACTCGGAAGCTGCAAGGCGGACTCCCAGCAGAGCACGGGCTGCCCCATGCTTGCCCTCTAAGCCCCAGCTTTCGTGGGAAATGCCTCCCCTCAGGTGGAAAGAGAGAAGAAGCCAACCAGGGTGGATTCGCAGCAACCGGGCAACTGCAGAGAGTTCGCAGGGTTGCCACCCCGGACTGACGTTTAAAAGCCCAGGGCAAAGAGGCGCCCGCGTGGCATGGGAGCCACCCACCCTTTGCTTGGCCTCGGCCACTCGCTCGCTCTCCTGGGCAAGTTGCTCCCGCAGACGGCCCTGCTGCTTGACGGACTGGGACT